TATATATACACACACACACACACACACACACACACACACACACACACACACAGTATATATACTTAGAAGAGTGATGCTCTGGTTCCAGTTCATAGTTTACAACAAAATATATACAGTACGTGCCAGATGAATGAACAATGTTGCGGTCATGTTTTCCTGTTCATAAGCAAAACATTTGGAACAAGTCATCAACTTTGAATGCAACAAACTGGCAAATGTGGATCTCGGTGAAACTCCAAGCATGACTCGTATGCTATCAAATAAAAGGCAGAAGGACAAGAAACAGAAGTTGGACACATTTGCATCAAGCCGGCAGCGGCGAAGGCACTCGAGGCTACTTTTTGGGGGATTAAGGAGTGAAAAGATTTGAGAAAGTCTGGGGCATCCGGGACATGTCAGAGGGCAGCGCTGGGCACGGGAACACTGGGATTTTGCCAAATGATCATGTGACTGCGCTCGAATCGCTGCAGCGTCGCCTGGAACAACTCCACTGAGCCGTCGCTCTCGTCGTCTCCTGCAGACGTGAGTAAAAATCAGTCGCCCTCCCCGGCAGCAAAAAACCCCCAAAAAAGTCGGAAAAGCCACAACTGTAATATTTTCAGTCCTTCCACTCACCGATGCGGAAGTTGATGTAGCCCTCGCCTCCGCTGAGGATGAGCTGAGAGCTCGCAACGTTGCTGCCACTGGTCGACATCAAACAACCTGAGCCGACACAAAAATGGCACAGAAAATCACAATGAAACGATATGGAACTGTGCGATGAACATCGGCAGCATCGATTCAAAATTGACCTCATAAAATGACAAAAGCAGAAAACATTTTGGATGCAGATCGCGACAGATGCTTTTTGCTAGTCGACCGGAACAGTTTTTTGGGTTTGTTTTCATCAACCGAACAGGGGCCAGAAAAATGCTGATGTCGTTGAGAAAGGGCAGAAAATTTGAAATCGAATCCTGTTGCTCACGTCGTTTAAGTTGCATCGTCAAGCAATACTGATTCTGAAGTTGGTCAAATTAGGCTGACATGGCAACACATACAGTATATGCTGAAATCTTTTCTGGCCTGAACGCTCACAACAGAAACACAAAAAGGCCAAAACCGCAACAAGACTCCGTGGCATTAAAAAAAAAAACAAAAAAAAACCTAATGACCTGGTGCGGCAATGATGAAGCGGACAGCTTGTCGGTGTCCGTGGTAACACAGCTGGGCTGTCGCAACAGAGCAGTATGGGATGGAAACTGCTTCGGACGCTGTGAAAGACAAAAACAAAACAAAAAAATTTAAATGGCTGCCTTCCAGCGTCTGACATGAAAAGTATGAAGTCGTACAGAACGCTTACTTATCGATAAAGGGATGGAGACGATGGCACCGCCCGCCGTGCCCACCCACAGGCGGCTCGAGATGACGGCAAGAGAGGAGATCTGAAGAGGCGAGAGCTCCAGGAAAGATTGACCTGCACACACGCATTGAGAGGCACGACGAACCAAGTGCAAAGACTTTGTTAATCAGAATCAGAATCAAATTTATCCTTGGCCAAGTATGTACAAGACACACAAGGAATTGACTTTCCCAGTTAGAACCTGTCCAGAGGGACGTAAAGAAAAGATTGACCAACAGGGGGAGACAGAACGGGAACCCTGGCGGTCCGCACGGCGCGGATCCATATTTTGGATGTGAAAAGAAAACAATGGGGACATCCAAAATAATTGATTTTCATGCGTCTGTGCTTGGGTCAAACTGATTCATCAGCCTTAATCCGTCAATATTCGCCCTCTTCAAATTGGGGAGGTGGGGACCTCGATCCGTTTCCTTTCCACATTAATACATTACAACATCAAACAAAAGACAATTACATTCTAATAAACATTTTTTAAAAAACGACATTTTTTTTGCCAGCTTTTCTCAAATGTCAGGTTATATACACTTATGTTTATGTATAAAGTGTATTTTTCCCCCACTGCAATCCGGATGACTGTCAGATCTATGTCTCGCTAAGCAAAAAAGAGGCTTTCTCCTGGAGGCCACTTTTATCCTGTTTGGAGGAAATCAAGACCTGGATGGCAGGAAATGTCTTGAATTTCAAAACTTCAAAGGTTCACTGAAAATCGAGGTCAAGAGTTCCCATGAAGTTCACACAGTTTTAAAGTGAGCTCTTAATGGCCGCCGGCTTTTTCGATAAAGGAAGATGCCGAGATTCAACTTCAGCGGTTTCCGCTGGAGAAGAAAGCACACGCCCACCTAATGATTTGGTCACCAAAGCAGCAAAATCCACTTCCTGTAGCGGGCGTCCAGTGGACCAGTCAAACAGTCTGAGGACGGAGTCAAGTCTGCAGGACGTCCAAACGCCACTCCCTCCGGCACACAGGAAGCGAACTTGCTGCTCGCTGCGCTCCGAGACGGGAAAAATGTGCTGGCGAGGCAAAGAACACGGCGTGTGGATTCCAAGTCAACCCGGCCTTGAAAGAGACTCCCCTCCGGGCCGAATTACCTCCACTTTCCTCCTATTAATGTCGACCACGTGGACTCGGTTCCAATAGCCGACCCACAAGCGTCCGCCTTTAGCGAGGCAGCAGCGAATGGGCTGCACGGGGTTGGAGCCCAACGGCATCAATGAATGTGACTGCAGGTTCCAGCCGCCTCCAAAATCACACAACATCACTTGAATATGTCAAGCGTGGCAGAAACGTAGTCCATCATGGAGAACGGACGACGGTTTACCGGAACTACTGGAGAAGAAAGCCAACGTTCCGTCGCCTAAGCCGGCGATGACTTGACCCTGGGAGCATCTGTCAAAGTCAAGTGCATCATGTTGACAGGAACGCATGATGATGTCACGGGAAGTATAATCTAAAAAAAAAACTTGCACTCACCTGAGTGAATGAACGCTTTCGGAGAGGGAAACTGAGTGCAGACAGCGCCCCCTATCTGCAGAGGCTGCATGTATCACTATACTGGAGTAGAAAAAACGATCACATTATTTGTTGACTGCAGGTAGACCAGAGGGGAAAATGTTTTCGAAAGGCAACAACATGCAAAATCAACCCCTCCCCCCCCAAAAAAATGTGTGTGTGTGTGCATGTGTATCTTTATCTATATTCATTTACTGTCATGCCCTCACATGTGGGAAAGGAGTCATGATATGCTAAAAACATTGAGATGCCGCCGCCCCCCCCCCATCTCTCTCTCTCTCTCTATATCTAT